CAGGAGATGATGAAGACGAAAATAAGTGGACTGAACAAAACGGCCCCGTTTGCCGATTTTTCACTTTCCTCTTAGACAAGGTTTAGAGACACGCTAGTGATACTAATGGAATCCTCTGGTCGAGATAAGGTCCTCTAAGAAGTCTGGTAAGCATAGGAGCTCGTTTTCCCGGTATAGCAAGGCTGCCAAAGTCGTGGCAGCCATTTTTGAAATGGGGTGAATCCTACCATAGATAGATAGATAGATAGATATTATAGACTACGTAACCTATAACATCTATGATCCTACTTAGTAACGCTACCGCGTTACTAATAATATGCTTCCAGATTGTATGCTACAATAGATTGTTCACTTTTCCTTTATTTTATATATTAGTTTGTCCATATGCAGTGTTAAGTTTAGTATCAATGATTTGTTCTTGTTGTTCAGTATTGATTGTTGGTAAATCATATATTGGACCAATAACTGCTCCTCCTCCTCCTCCTCCTACTGGAGTTTTATTTTGTATTGTAGTCCCTCTCTTTTTCATTATTAAACATACAATGATACTAGTAATTATTGCAGTAATGAGTCCAGTTAATAGACCAGTGATAGGTACAGCAATAGCAACTGTGTGTGTGTGTAATAGATTAGATATACTTAATGTATTAACTAACCACTAATGGATCCTACATCTGTTGATTGTGACATTGTTGTGGTAATACATAAAGAACAACCTAGTAAAGTAAGTAATTTATTTGACTAAATGCCAGTATATAGATTTAATTCTCAATCATGTGTAGTGCTTATTTTGTGGATAATAATTTCTTCAAAATACAATGTATGCTAATCACTATGATTTTTAAAATTGTATGCCACAGCCTGCCCACAAACACAGTATGTGCTATATAGTTGCTTACTTTCAAGTGCTGATTGTGTTTTGGTTGATACAATTAATACTGAACTGGTAGTATGTAGTGTGATGTACTCAGTGGTAGTAATGGTACTCATCATTATAATATTGCTGCTTGATACATGTATTGTAATTATATAAACTGGAAGGAAAATGCACAGGGAAATAATGAAGTATTATTATGATTTCATTCTAACTTGAAGATACTGATGAACTACTGGTAGTTATACTGACTAAAATAGTAGAAATAAAACAATTTTACACAGTAATGATATCATACCATTAACAGTGGCTGACGGTCCATATCCAATAACATTAACAGGTATGATAGTAACAGTGTAGTATTCATTAATAGGAGATAGTCCAGTAATAGTAACATTAGTATTATTAGTATTATTAGTGTATATGATACTGTTTGATGTAGTGTATACATTAATAATGTAATACTGAGTAGGAGGAACTGGTATAGTAGAATAGCCCTAATTATCATCCATTATATAGAATTGAATTTAATACTCAACATACTTGAGTTTTATTCCACCATATTGTAACACTGTCTGTTGATATCTGATACCAACTAATATTAACAACTTGAGCTGGTACTATAAGAAATACAATGGGTGTGTGTGTGTGTATAGTTCTTACCATTCCATATATACTGTATTAATGATGAAGGAGGTCCTCCTAATCCACTGGTGCTGACAGGAATAATAATAAATGAATAATTAGTACCAATAATGAGAGAACCAATAGTTCCTGATGAAGTATTGACTGTGTTGCTCTCAGTATATGTGCTATTACTGGTCATTGTGATATTATAATGAGCTGTACAGTCTTGTTGCTCTGCCCATTGAATAAATAATGCACTATTGTTAATTGGTTTAACTGTTACATTAACTGGTACTACTGGACCTTTAAAGCAGTAGTAATAATGATAATAACACAATGCCTAACCTGTTACATTAATAGGTAGATAAATAAAATTTTCAAGCACCAATGCATCTGAGCAACCAATCGTAGCTCCATTCAATGATGTTGTTACCGATTCAATAGTAGCAGTACTAGTTATCATGCTACCATTAAAATGACTGACAGCCAGTAAGAGACTGTCTATTTGAGAAGGCACAGTAAGACTTGATAGTGCAGTTATTCTACCATCATCTGTTTGCCAAATTACACTGCCAATATCAGTTTCACAAGTAAATTCTACTCTATCACCCAGACAGAGTACAGTACTAGCATTAGGTTCTGTTTGCTGAAAGAATACTACAGCTATATTTACAATTACATATTAACTATTATGTTAGCAAGACAGACTTACTAGAAACAAGACTCAAACATTCAGTCAATACAAGACACCAGTAGATACCAGTAGTAGCCATTAGCATCAATAATAGAAATGAGAACTGAAAT